GTCATTGGCGAAGCAGCTGAAGATGGTTGGGCCTGGGACACTACCTTGAGGAACTCCTGCAAAGATGTTCTGGAGCTAAGATGATTGGTTTCTAACAACCATAACCAGCTTCCTTGTGCCAACCATGAGTCCAATCAGTGGAGAGATTTACTCTGAACCCATCAACTTCAGTTTTGTTGAAGCTCCTTGATGCTGCACCTGGTCTTGTTGCCGAGGGCAGTCACTCTCTCCTCACCTTTGCACTTCAGCTCTTTTGTCCAATACTTGAACCAAGACTATAACGAGGTCAGGAACTGAGTGACCCTGGCAGAACTCAACCTGAGTGTCAGTGAACAAGTTAGTGCTGAACAAATGCTGCTGCAAAGCACTGTTGATGACCCCTTCCATCACTTGATTGATCATCAAGAATAGACTGATAGGTTTGAATTTGTCCTGCCTTTTATGTACAGGACAAACCTTGGCAATTTACTACACTGTCAGGTAGATGCCAGTGTTGTAACGGTTACAGGAACAGCTCGGCTTGGAGCACATGTCTTCACTACTATTGCCAGAATGTTGTTAAAGTTAACATTCTCTCCAATTTTCCAGCCACTGTGTGAAACTGAGATTCGTGTGAGGTGGCATCCATAGCAGCCTGAAATAAATGCTTCAGCACCACCACACAGCTTAGAGGTAAGGTTAGTCAGGGGTTGTGACCATTTCTGTGTCCTGTGCCTTCAACAATTCCTTGTTATCACATGCAGTGCATCAGCTTGGGAGGAGACTGGCATCTGTGATGCTGGGGACCTCTAGCAGTATGGTGTGGTATGTAATGATCCGTTCAGAAGTCACATGACACCAGTTAATAGTCCAACAGGTTCACTTGAAATCACAAGCATTCAAAGTGCTGCTCCTTTGTCAGGTGCAATGAAGAGAAACACGCAGGCACATAATTTATAGACAAAGAAATCAAAAGATTGTACAAATGGCATGAGTGGAGTGTTGACAGGCTGAGTAATAAGTCTGCAGGTGGTCAAAAGTGTCAGACAGTGTCAGTAAGGTGTCAACAGCTGAATAACAAGTGAAGGGATGACCTATAATCTGATTAATTGAGGCAGAGAGATAACTACAAAAAATTAAAAATAAGGTGGTGCTGGAAACAAACCAAATGACTGGAATAACATGATCGGTATGACAGCCGCATACCAAGGGTCTAACCAAAGTAACAAGTAATGCAGAACTGTACAAACTAATTAAGATAGCGAGGTCATAAATAGTTATCAAGGTGATGGTGTCAAAACAGGGCAGTAAGGAAGATTTTACAGATACAGAGCAGTATGGTGGGATTACATGCAACGCAACATGAACCCAAGATCATGGTTGAGGCCGTCTTCATAAGTACGGAATTTGGCTATCAGTTTCTGCTCGGCGATTCTGTGTTGTTGTGTATCTCGAAGGCCACCTTGGAGGAACATTACCCAAAGATCAGAAGCTGAATGTCCTTGACCACTGAAGCTTTCCCCAACTGGGGGGGAACTTTCCTGTCTGGCGATTGCTGCGTGGTGTCCATTCATCCATTACCATAGCATCTGCATGGTCTCACCAATATACCATGCCTTGGGGCACCCTTGCCTGCAGCATCGCTACAACAGCCTCAGTACTCAACACCAACAGCTGCGAATTTCCAGACGCCATCCTACAACTCATCCGCTTCATCCATGACCACAACAACTTCACCTTCAACAACCAGCTCTTCGTTCAGATACATGGAACAGCCATGGGGACCAAATGTGCAGCCCAATATGCCAACATTTTCATGCACAAGTTTGAGCAAGACGTCTTTTCTGCACAAGACCTCCAACCATTTCTATACATCAGATATAACGATGACATTTTCTTCTTTTGGACATGTGGCGAGGAATCACTGAAATGACTGCACAGTGATATCAACGAGTTGCATCCTGCCATCAGACTTACCATGGACTACCCTTCAGAATCAGTTTCATTCTTGGACACGTGCATCTCCATCAGGGACAGACACCTCAGTACCTCATTTTACCCCAAGCCCACGGATAGCCTCACAATGCTGCACTCTCCTAGGTTCCACCCTAAACATGTTAAAGAAACCATCCTCAACGGGCAAGCCCTGCATTTACACAGGATCTGCTCAGACAAAGAGGCACACGACGGATGCCTAAAGATGCTGAAAGACGCCCTCATAAGAACAGGGATACAATGCTCAACTCATCGATCGCCAGTTCCAATGTGCCACAGCGAAAAACTGTAACGTCCACCTCAGAAGTCAGACACAGGACACGACCGATAGAGTACCCTTCGTCATCCTCCACTACTTCCCCGCAGCAGAGAAACTACGCCATGTTCTTCGCAGCCTTCAACATGTCATCGACAGTGATGAACATCTCGCCAGAATCATCTCCACGCCTCCACTTCTCACCTTCAAACAACCCCCAAACCTTAAACAGACGAACCGTTTATGACAAACTACCCAGCCTTTAGGGCCACATTGACCACAACACCACATAACCCTGCCATGACAACCTCTGCAAGACACGCCAGATCATCGACATGGATACTACCATCACACGTGGGAGCACCACTCGCCACGTACACGGCACATACTCATGTGAGTTGGCCAATGTTGTCTACCTCATACACTGCAGGCAAAGATGCCCCCGAGGCACGGTATATTGGCAAGACCATGCAGACACCATGGTAATGGATGAATGGACACTGTGCAACAATCGCCAAACAGGAATGTTCCCTCCCAGTCAGGGAACGCTTCAGTGGCCAAGGACATTCAGCCTCCAATATTCGGGTAAGCGTCCTCCAAGGCAGCCTTCGAGATACACAACACAGAATCGCCGAGCAGAAACTGATAGCCAAGTTCCGTACCCATGAAGACGGCTTCAGCTGTGATCTTGGGTTCATGTTGCACTACATGTAGCCCCACCATACTGTTCTGTATCTGTAAAATCTTCCTTACTGTCCTGTTTTGACACCATCACCATGATGACCATTTATGATCTCTCTAATTAGTTTGTACAGTTTTGCATTAATTGTAACTTTGGTTAGACTCTTGGCATGCAACTCTTATACCGATTTTTTTTTTTCTTTACTCATTCACGGGATGAGGGCGTCACTGGCTAGGCAGCATTTATTGCCCATCCCTAATTGCCCAGAGGGCAGTTAAGAGTCAACCACATTGCTGTGGGTCTGGAGTCACATGTAGGCCAGACCAGGTAAGGATGGCAGTTTCCTTCCCTAAAGGACATCAGTGAACCAGATGGGTTTTTCCAACAATCGACAATGGCTTCATGGTCATCATTAGATTCTTAATTCCAGCTATTTATTGAATTCAGATTCCACCATCTGCCGTGGCGGGATTCGAACCCAGGTCCCCAGAACGTGATCTGGGTTGCTGGATTAACAGTCCAGCAATAATACCACTCGCCCTTCCATTTATCACCGATGATGTTATTCTAGTCATTTGGTTTGTTTCCAGCACCGCCTTATTTTCTCTCTGCCTCAATTAATTGGATTATAGGCCATCCCTTCAGTCGGTGTTCAGCTGTTGACACTTCACTCACACTGTCTGACACTTTTGATCACCTGCAGAGACTTATTATTCAGCCTGTCAACACTCCACTCGTGCCATTTGTATGATCTTTCGATCTCTCTGTCTATAAATTATGTGCCTGTGTGTTTCTCTTCACTCCCCCTGACAAAGGAGCAACGCACCAAAAGTTTGTGATTTCAAATAAACCTGTTGGATTATAACTTGGTATCATGTGACTTCTGACCTTGTCCACCCCAGTCCAACACATTGCACGTCCACATTGTGCAATGATCAGTAGGAGATTTCCTGCCTGTGGTTGACCTGATACCTTGATACTTCATGGGATGCAGAGTAAATGTTGAAGACTTCCAAGGCAACTACCTCCCAACTGCATATCACTTTGCCACCAGCTTCACTGACAGTGATGGTGTTGTCTGGGACATTGCCTATAACATATGATTCCAGGAGTATGACTAAATCAGCCTGTGCTTGAGTAATCTCTGGGATAGCTGTCCTCATTTTAGCACTAGCCTCCAGTTAGTAAGGAGTACTTTATAGGGTCAATGGGGCTGAATTTACCCTCACCGTTTCCAGTGCCTAGGTTGGCACCAGATTGTCAGTCCAATTTTGTTTTTGTTTGAGACTTTTTAGCAGTGTGATACAACAGGGTGGCTTACCAACTATATTACTGTGGGCCTGGGGTCACATGTAGGCCAGATTAGGTAAGGATGACAGGTTTCCTTCTCTCAAAGACATGATTAAATCAGGTGGAATTTTATGACTTTTGATGATGGTTACACGGTTCTCATTAGACTAGCTTTTAATTCCAGATGTTTTTGAATTCAGATATCACTATCTGACGTGGTGGAATTTGAACCCACGGCCCCAGAACATTAGCTGAGTCTCTGAATTACTAGTCCTGTGACCGTACCCGTACAGCAACATCTCCCACTACTAGGACAGTTTTCTATGATGTATGAGGAAACTGAGAAAGGCCTTTTTTCACAAGTGCATTGCTCAGATAATGCATTTGTACCCAGCTGACCCCTTGAAGTTTATGGGGACTACATGTGGTAGTTGTATCAAAATTCATGTTGATCAAAACCATTGCAGTTTCACTTCATGCAGAAACCCTCAAACACTGCAGGTGGAAAGGCATCCTCAGCACACAGCACATAATTGAGTGCCCATGTAGTTTCTTAGGATGTGAATCAGAGGTGGTTCATGCTGAATGTAAGATGTATCTTCAAGGAGTAAAAATGTGGCATTATGAAATTAATCTTAACTCTCAAAAATAATTTTTTTTAAACTATAGTAGTATGTTTATTTGCATCATTGTTTTAGAAAGTAGCCCTGCAGTTAGTTTGAAGTGAAAAATTCAAACAAGTAATGTAGTTCTAAAAGAGTTTAAATTGATACTGAATATCGTAACATTTTTCTCCAGACGATTCCTGATTGACACAGGCGAGCCAAGCGTGCCTGAATACATCAACAGTTTAAAAGAAACTTTGACCCGACTGAATGCCAGTATTCAAGAAATTCTGGTGACACACTGGCATATAGATCACGTTGGAGGCATACCAGATATACTGAAGAATGTTGTTGACGGTGAGTGTGCTGAGCCAAGTGGTCTTCCAGTCACTAGTACCTGATCATTAAAAATGGTCATATGCATTTCCAGTGTTTTTTTTTAATAGTGAACTTTCATGCTGAAATTAATGCCACCTTGTGAATATCAAGAGTATTTCTTTATAGGTTGAATGGGAAAATTAAAGCGATATTGTTAAATATTTGCTTCTAGGAATAGATGTTGATTAATGTCTTCCTGTGGAATTGCTAAAGCAGAGCTCTGGTAAATTAAATAGCAATGCTATCCCTTGTTAACTTCATCCAAGAATGTATGCTGGGATTTTATATCTCCAAAGTGGACGTTAGTAAAGCTGGAGGTTCTGTAAAATTGTTTGGGATGGCACTAGGTTAGCCTCCTGCTGCATCATGGTAGGCCTGGGTGTACCTACACTATATGAACTGCAGAGGGGGCTCCTCAAAACCACCTTAAGGTCAGTTAGGCAAGGGGAAGTAATGCTATCCTTAACTGTGATGCTCACATGACCAAATGAAGCAAAATTCTGCCCTTTTTTTTAACTTGGATCAGTGTCAGATTTGTTTGATAACATTTGTTGTAAAATTTTGCTCTGCTAATGCTGTTTTATGAATGCAAAGTGGTTTAATATTGTCCAGGAATAGGAGTAACTCCGCAAGTAATTTGTAGGTGGCTTTCCAAAACTCTAAAATAAAAATGATTTAAAATGAGTTACTGTAAATCTCCAATGCAGTACAATATATAACCAATATAAGTTATAATACCTGGAATTTGTCTAACTTGCTGGTTTTCTGTCATTCTAAATCTAGTAGCATTTTAATACATTGGATCTCAATGATATAAACAGCATATTAGCAGACCTAAAATTAAACAAAGAACTGCAGATGTGGAAATCTGAAACAAAAACTGAAATTCGATAGATCTGACAGAGAAAACGGACTTAATGTTTCGAGTCCAGTGACCCTTCTTCAGAACTGAAGAGTCACTGGACTCACAACATTAACTCTGCTTTCCCTCCACAGATATATGCAGGTCTAATACAGCAAGAAAAACAATGCTCTATGATTTTAATTGTTAACTACTTACTGAACTATTTTTTATTTACCATAAAGAAAGTCGTGAAGCAAACTTGCAATTAGAATTTTTCTCCATTTTTTTCCCATCAGCCCCAATTCTGAAATGTCATTTGTAACTTTTAATTATGAAGCTTCCAGTTATTCCCGACTCCGTAGGAGGCAATACCCCATTACAGCAATCTCTGCAGGTATACTGGATCACCCATGAGGACTTGGACCCAGCCACCCACAAGGTCCAGAGCTGTGCCTGATTGCCCAAAGGCCTGGAGCTGTTGTGGCAGCAATTGCAGTGACTCGCTCCCGGCCGTCATTTGCCTTCCAAGCTACAGTCTGTTCCGCGTTTAATGCTGATAGTTTCACTCATGAATTGATCAGGAGCAAATTGGGGAGACACATTTTGTGATTGGAGCAGCAGCTTTTCCTAGATTCTGTCCCTCTCACACATGGGACCCACCTTTCTCTGATTGCTTACCACTTGATGGGGAAGTGCTCTTGGAGCCCATGCCCCTTTGAAGTAATGAACCCAGGTGATTAGCACCAAATACACTCCCCTTCCCCTGGGCCATGGTTCTAGAGCACAGGTCTCCATCACTCTAACTTGGATGTTGTGGGGACCCATAGAATAAGCTGTATCCAGTATAGTAATTTCTTGATATCATGTGGAATGAATTGAATTGTCTGAAGTCTATTTTCTGTGATGGAGAGCTGAGAAAGATCAGTTACAGTACTTTTCTGACCATAGAGGGTTGCAAACACTTCAACTTTGTGCCTTGCATATTCATATTGGGCTGTGTTATCATTGAGAATGGGAATGTTCGTGGAGCTTCCTCATCTCATTCGTAATTTCGTTGTTTGCCACTAGTAGTAGGATATGGAATGATTGCACAGCTTTAATATGATCCATTTGTTATGGTATCACTTAGCTCCCTCCATAGCATTAATGGCTGTATGTCACCTCATTTTTAGGTACACTTGTTGCTGCTAACAGCATTCTTTTCCACAGTAATCATTGAACCAGTTTTGGATCCCTGGCTTGATGTTTTTAGTTGAGTAAGTGATTGCAGTTTGGCAAGAGGTTGCAATTTGTGATCAAAGTCAGCTATTATTGATGGCCCAGAGCCTCAAGATTAGTTTGAAGTTTATCTGCTAGTCCCATTTTGAATCTACCCCTTTTCGCATAATAGTAGTACAATACAAGACATTGTAGAGTATCCTCATTGTAAAGATGGTAATTCATCTCCATAAGAAATGAGCATTAAATATGTAGATCTCTGTCAGGACAAGTTACTGATGAAACCAAATTAATTATGATATTCCACCACCACAGACCGTCTGGTGAAACCCAATGTGCCTGGCCCTTTCTGCCTTTGGTCCAAAAACTAGTTTTAGGCTCTGTTGGACTACATTTTTATGAAGATTGAGATTTTGTTTTGCAATGCCTATTGCTGCTTTCTCCATGACCACTAAGCCAAATCTCACCATATCCAACCCTCTTTTAATGGTGAATATCTTGGGGTATTCTTTCTGTTAAAGGCACTATCTAAGTACAATAATATAAAAGCGAAATATTGCAGATATTGGAGATCTGAAATAAAATCCAAAAGTGCTGGAGAAATTCAGCAGGACTGGTACTATCTGTGGAGAGAAAAGCACAGAGTTAACATTTTGAGTTCATGACTCGTCTAAATACAAAATGTGTCAATAGGTTCAAAATAGAGGTGAATGACAGGGTATTTTCTATTTCAGTTCTGTAATAAGATCAAGACCTAAAGGACAAAAAAAATTGCACAGTACTGGTAATTGAAACTCAAGCAAACTGCAAATTACCAATATCAAATTTGTTTTCTGTTTGAGTATTCAATACTAAGATGTATAAGCACAAGGTCTATTTGTTAAGTTGAATCAATGAATCTTAGTGTAGAAATTATTTCATTTGTGCATACTCTACATCTATTTTCTTTCATTTTATTTTCAGATTTATTAAAATCTACATTATCTTAATTTAGGTCTATGAGAGTCCCTTAAGATTTGTAAATAGATCAAACTATTACTGTTTCTTAATCTATCTTTTTGATTTTAGAAGGTAGTCATCTTCAAATTAGAAAACTTTCACACAGTCCGCCTCAAAAAGAGACAATCAAAACCTGTGACAAACAGTACACATATCTAAAAGATGGAGATGTATTGGAAACCGAGGGAGCTACACTGAGGTATTTTCTTTTGACAAAATTGTGCTTTCTAATAAGCAAGTTTCTAATCCTTTTTATATTCGTAGAAGCATGCATATTACATCTGAAAGAAATAAAAGAATCAGAATTAACAGTATAATAGGTAAAATGCAGTACTTAAAAGATGAAGTTGAAAGATCCCTAGGAATCTTAATAGACTACATACTATACAGGGTCTGGGGAAAATAAGTGTTAATGAGCATTAACAATCTTGAAAAGATCTTGGTATTTTTATTGCTTCATTTAACTTGGGTAGTTGACATGCTGTAACTTGTACAGTGGCCTACTTGTACTCCTATTCTGATCAAAAAATATTTTAAAAATTGAATGCTTTATGAAACCAAAAGGTACAGGACTATTCCTCCTAATTGCACACAAATGTGATGTGTATCAAAATAGCATTTGACCCAGTGCGGCATTGAGAATCCCATGTAGAATCATTCTGTATCGGGGTAAAGATCTTAGTTGACTGGAGTAGTACTAAGGACAAAGGAAGGTGGCTGCTGTGCAATCTCAGCTTGAGGACACCTCTGCAGAAGTTTCTCAACATAGTGATCTGCACGCAGCCATCTTCACTTGCTTCATCAATGACCTTCCCTCCATCACAAGGTCAGAAGTGGGGATGTACATAGCGTTCAGTTCCATTTGCAATTCCTCAGGTAATGAAGTAATCTTTGCCTAGATGCAGGAAATCCTGGACAATGTCAAGGTTTGGACTGAAAAGTAGGAAGTAATATTGATGCCACCTAAGTACTGGACAATGACATCTTCAACAGAGAAAGTCTAACCATCCCCACTTGACATTCTAAAGAATGAGCATCGTTGGGTCAAACAGGCAGACAACTAGCAACCCGCATCCACGAACACCACGCAACTAAACGACTTGACCAGATGTCCTTGGTTTCATTACACACAAATGAGAAAAACCACACTTTCAACTGGGACAGCACTACCATCATTGGACCAGCCAGACAGAGGACAGCCAGGGAATTCTTGGAGGCTTGGCATTCATCTGCAGACTTAATCAACAAACACATTGAATTAGACCTGATATACCGACCATTACAATGCACAGCCAGAACCGGCACCTACTGGAAGCAACAGAAACCAGACCATACAAATTTGAACCGGCACAAGACAACAGCTCTTCACAGGAGGCTCCACAGCACTGGTGATGTCACCTAGTAAGGGGACAAAACGTCTGCTATCAAACCTCCCAGCTTGGCGAACACACCAACATCTACAACCAGCACCTAAGCTTCAAATCTTCACTCAGCCCTAAATGTCAAGAAGGCATTTGATAAAGTGCCACATCAAAGGTTATTGCAGGAAATAAAAGCTCATGATGTAGGGGGTGGCATACCGGCATGGGTAGATGATTGGCTGGCTAACAGGAAACCGAGAGTAGATATAAATGGGTCTTTTTCAGGTTGGCAAGTTATGATGAGTCTACAAGATCAGTGCTGAGACCACAGTATTTTACAATTGGTATAAATGCCTTGGATAACGAGATGGAAAATTTGGTTGAAATATTTGCTGATGACACAAAAATAGGAAACACGTTACGAAAAGGACCTAAGGAGTATACAAAAAAATACAGATAGGTTTGTTGATTGAGCAAAGATGAAAATGGAGTATAATGTAGAAAAATATAAGTTGTCTATTTTGGCAGCATCAGGATATGTACAACTCTTACATTCAGGTTCTTGATATCTATTTACTTTATCCTACAAGTGTAATCAGAAATCTTACTTGTTAAGCTTAGAAGCCAGTAAGTATGAATGAAAGTAAAGTGTGATTAAGGTACTGCAGCTAATTGCAATATTCATATCTTTTCACAATAGAGGGTGAAAATTTATTGCCACATAAGTTATCAGAACTATCTGACATCATTTTAATTGCTGTGAGTCGTGCTACGTAACGCAATTTTCATTTGTAAATCAAATAAGGAAAGACAGATAAATATTCTGTCTAAATATTATGTCACAAAACTATAATTTTATAAACTATATCTGATGGATGTTACTTCATGATTTGAAGTACTTAATGAAGAGTATACATTTGCAATCACTGTAGCCTAAGAAAGAAAGAATAAACTTCTGTTGATATAGAACCTTTCATAAGCTCAATTCGTCCCAAGTACTGCACAGCCAATGAAGTATTTTTGACATGCAGATGCAACTATACAGGGAAAGATAGTAGTCAGTTTGAAAACAGCGAGCTCCTATGAAGTGTCCCGTTAAGTTCTGTGCTCACATCTCTGGAGTAGGGTTTGAACCATATGACTTGGAGCTTATTTCCATCAAGGTGATTTTCTAACTTTGAATATAATGTTTATTTTTCCAGCAAGTATAAATGTCTTGTTTACAAATGTTATCAGTCTACATGTCAATAACAGTTGACGTGGGTGCTGGTAAGGGCAGTTTGTCTGTTATAAACACTTGTTTCATAATAGGTCATTACTGTTAACTCAAGGTGAGCGAATAGCTAATGAACTAGTCAAATAAGAAAGTCACAGTGATAATGGTCCTGGAGAAATGTACCTTAGAAGAATAAAGATGATGTGGGTATTTATTTGATCCATTCTGAGTTGAAAGATGATGGCTGAAGGCCCACTCTGGGTTGGCAACAAATAACACAGCGAGTAATGTGGAAATATTCTAAAATAGAAGGAGCTACCTTTTCAGAAAAAGTATTAAACCAAGCCGTCACCTGCAAAAGATCCCATGACCCTGATAGTAGGAACTGCAGATGCTGG